TGATGTAAGTGAAAGACAAACGCCATGTATCTAACTTCAATCTTCCTCTGTTGTGTGCTTTTTTTTCCCACTGGAGACTTATCACTTTGCCTTGCTTCTTTTATCTGTGAAATAATTGTAAAAAAAATATAGAAATTTGAGATAAAAAGCTCAGTCATAGTGTTTTAAATAAATTTTTTGGCCCCACTCCCTTTTTACTATCGCTCCTTTTCTTCAGAAAATCCCCCTTTCTCTTTACCTTTATCAAAACTTAAAGACCCTGTTAAAAATGTGTAGCGAACCTAATGCTTTTGAATGGAAACATTACATTTCGTGTACATGTATTGTCATTAAGTTCGTCACCTGTGAAATTTGACGTTTGAATCGAGCCTTATTATCACATAATAAAGTCCAGGAAAATTCAATCAAAATTTCCCTCTATGCCCAAAGCTTAAAATTAAACTAAAGAAACACTTTATATTATACCTAGCCTGCATAACAAGCGTTTCCAATCGAGTTATTGCGCGAGTTAGCCCCTCCCGGCCCCTCCTTCCTCTTTTTTTGCCCTCTTGCACAAAACTCGCGCGGAAAAGCTTGCTACGCGGCTATTTTTCTACCTTTTTAACCCCCAAAGTTATTGTCCAGTAACAATAATGAAGGGACAGCTCGGTATGTTTGAATGATTGTTATTAAATGTTGAAACATACCCAGCTGCCACTGTAGTGGTAAAAAAATCAATGGAATATTTTAAAAATTAATTATGCAGTATGAGCCCCATTACGTATAGAACCCAGAAAAATCAATAGAAAGAGATACTCACGTTCGCAAAACATCCGAAGTCTTCAAATAATCACACCTCTTTGTTTGATAAACTGCACTGAATCCTGTTCAAATAAGCTTATGTACTTGCTTCAGTAATATGCCCATCAAAGTCTGGTACAGACATTTTTATTGAAGTACACTGTCAATGAAAAAAGATATATGTAAGTCTTATATTATTTCATTACCTGAGTAGTTCTCGCAGATAAATATAAACTGTTAGAAAAACCAGAGTTGGTTAATCTTGATGTTAGTAGGTTCTCGCATGAAGTTTTGAGTTGAATTGCATTGTGAAATATAAGCCAGGCATTACTTTTACAGAAATGCATTAACCCTATTAAGAAAAAGGGCTTGATCTAATGTAAACTCTACTGTGATACAGAAAGATTTTTATAGTTTACTGAACCAGATTTAACGATCAGAAAAGCTCCCAAGCACGATATACACGCCTGTTCGGAGTTGGTTTCTGTAAGCTTAACATAGTAAAACAACTATGAAGTTTGAAGAAGAACTATTGCATGCACACATAGAAAAGAATGACACGTACCTTTTGAACAAGTTTGTAGTCTAAACTCTATCAGAGATAAGGGCGAAAATATTTGTTAAAAAAAAGCTGGACTGCTTCGTACAAAAAAGCAGCTTTTGTTTTCTTCAGATCTGCGTAGTTTGTTTGTTTGCGCGGGCGGAGAGAGTTTGCAGCCGCGACAATTTCGCGCCAAAAACAGGGTGTCTTGCTTGGGTTCAGTCTTCCATCGTCCAGTTGTTGAGTCATTGTTTTGCGTCGCTATCATTTATTCATCGTATATTAATCGATCAAGGGGAAAATGATCCACTCAAGATAAGACAAAAACAAAACTCACTTAATTCACCTCGAAAAAGTACATATTCCAGAACATTTTCAAAAATAATTATAAACACCAATTACAATGATTACCAGCCTGTGTTCGGTATTGTCGTATAAATATCTTTAAAACAGTATTCAAATACAGCTTTTTAATTTCCTTTCTTAAAATCAGTTTCGACATAAGTGTTTGTAGAAGTAATTCATTGCATATTTGCTCTCACCCTTGACACCATTCAAAAGTGTTGTAAAAGTGTAGCGGTCGTATTTGACTTCATTTTTGACTAGTATCAAAGGTGTGGTCACAGCCACTACTCTTTTGACTTTATCTTTGACGTGCGTCAAAGGTAAAGTCAAAGTTACCAGCATATTTGACAACGCCTTTGATAAGGGTTAAAGGAATAGCAAAGCATTGATGCATTTGACTTGATCTTTGACGCACGTCAAAGGAGAAGTCAAAGTTGTTACCAATTTGACTTCACCTTTACCGAGGTCAAAGGAGTAAGCACAGAGGTTATATATTTGGCGACATCTTTGACGCGCGTCAAAGGTGACGTCAAAGCCAATACCATATTTGATTTAACTTTTGACGCGTGTCAAAAGTGTCGTAAATCCAATTTTTCGTCCCGTGTACATGACGGCCAAGAGAGCTGCCATTAGGTTAAAAAAAAAATGAGTTAATTCAGGAAATTTTGCTATCTAAACAGTTCATGTACAAGAAAAAGTATTACTTTTATGTTTATGAGTTTCTCGAAGAATAAATTCACGCTTTCGTAGCAAATTTCGGTAACAGATGCTTCTGTTGGTTTCCGTCCACCATGTTGGAGCTCATCCAAGTGAGCACCAGCATGGCGTCTCCATACAAATCTCTATAAGTTTGGGTAAAACATTTCTTCGGATATCTCGTATACGAAATATTCCTCTGACCTGAATCTTGGCGAGGGTCTTTGTATGTGTACCTCCTTTCATTTCCCAGATTCTGGACTTTATCCATTGAACGGTTTTGATTTTTATTTTGATCTATTTTGAATGGCGTGACACTGAAAACCAGCAATAGAATACAAAATTATGAGTACATCAGCGACGAACTACAATCAAATAGAAAAAAGTATTGACAAACGAAATCAATCAGGCACCGTTGTCAGCTTAGAATAATCACTTCAGTAAATCCCGCCCTTGTATACTTGAGTCTCCGTGACAGCTGTCAGTAAGTTGGAACCGAGAAAACTCTAATTTGCTGCTATTCTTAGAACCACAGCGAATAACAATGTTATTCTCACCTGATCAGTCCACCGCATTCTCGGATATACCCAGGGGCAATTAGTCGATTGAATTAATTCAACGTGATGCATTTGTTGTCGTACATTATTTGTTACGGGTTATACAATCTTACAACCTTTTTCGTTTCACCATTGAGATAATACAGAAATCAATAACGCTGGTTTACAGTTTAAAATGTTGGCCTATCGATCCTTTAGCTATTTTGTTGTCTTGGTAATTTTTTTGGTATAACTAATTTAGAAAGTTCGATCATGGCTCAGACCTTGTTTCCTGTTCCAAGCGCCGTTCAGATAGTGGAGTGTGGCACGAAATGGAGATACCCTCTCTCCCTACCCAGAACCCCTTCGTGTTTTTTTCCTGAATGCCTGGAACAGATTATCAGCCCTGAGTCTGTTACGTCCGTTATTCTCAGTCCACCGCATCCTCCAATACTCAGGGGCAATCATTTTAATCAGTCGGATCGGGAGAAACGTTCAAGCATACAGGGCTCTTCCGCTTGAGCGTTTCTCCCGACTCGAGTGACTGCCCCTGTGTTTTTGACTGAGTTCGCCATAGAATGGACGCCGAGTGTTAGTCGCACGCTAGTCAAACTGCCAATACTGCCCCTATCATGTAAATGTAGATTGTTAATAATAATAAAGTGTGTAAAGTGTGTGTATTGTTGTCGGATAACAAAATGACGGCGGAACGAATTTGGAGTGACAGTGTAACCCAAGGGGACATGCCATAGTGTCCGTATAGCGGGCTGTCAGATAAAAAGTCACGCGGACACTAATAAGTATAGCCTGCGTAGCAAGCGTTTCCAATGTTTTTTTCGCTCTTGTCCCAGCTTTCTAGACGAACCTCGCGAGGAAACGCTTGCTACGCAGGCTATAGTAAGTAATAAAACCGTATTAACTTGTAGAAATGTTTCTATTTGAATGATGCAATGTTTACAATTAGTACACAATGGAAATAGAAAATGCAAAGCAGATACACAATATCCATGAAGCGGTGTTGTGACAATTTGACAGTTTGTGACCGTCAGGACTCAGACCAGTGTGACGACCCGTTGAGACCTATTATTATGCGGGTTAATTTTTCAGAACATATGTGATTGTCGGTGACAATTGTACGAAACGGTGCCTAACTCTACAGTTTACAAGGATTCACGCAAAACTCTGCAAGTTCCTTGGGCATCATCTCGTGAAACTACACAAAATGCTTTCTGGCAAGGAGTTTTGGCTGAGTCTGGCGTGTTTTGTCATTGGAGGAATACTCACAGTCATATTGATAAAAATGTTAGAGAGGAAAAGAGATGGGAATAACGAAGAACAGGGTGACAAACGAATACTCATTCCTGTACAAGAGGTTGGTGACGGCCAAAGAGAAGTGGAAAGAGTTGTACCGGCCCTTACAACCAGCATTAGAAAGTTTCCACAAGAGCAAGATGAATTTTAAGGTACTGCTGAGAACTATTATTACATTTTATTTCATCGTTATTTTTTTTCCTGATAAATTCAGTCAACCATAAACAGTGATAAATGCGCGAAAAATCCCAATCAGTAGCGCTGTTTCTGATGAAGAAAGTGCACTCAGTAGGTTAGGAACTTATCACTAAGAGTCACAGGTGGGCGATCCGAACGGGCATTTTTCTCGAGCGCGAAGCGCGAGTGGGAGATATTTTTATGTTCCACGGCAAAACTGGAGTGGCATCTAACCGGAACCGGAAATAACAAGCGAAGGACTTTGAGAAAGTCTATGTACTTGAGAGTACATAGACTTTCTCAAAGTCCTTCGCTTCTTATTTCCAGACTATCGGCCAATTTGTTTCCAGCAGTGATTTAAAGTCTTTAAAGTGGAATGTCCACGTGTCGGAATTAGTAAGAAAGGTCTCAAAATGATTATATTTTCTAAGGCAACTTAAAAAAAATCGCATTTTGCTTCAACTAGAGGGCTAATTCTTTTTTACATCACATGTATTTGCTCCATTTTGGAGTATGGCAGTCCAGTTTTTGACGCGCTCGAGCCAAGTTATCTAAGAAAAGACCTAGAAAGACTGCAAATAAAACGCGCTCTGAAGAGTATATACCCTCAGTGAGCTATCATATGCTAAGGCTTTTGTTCTGAAATATTCACCTTACGAAAGTAATGTAATGTGATATATCACAGCTCAACATTTAAATAATCGCAAATTATCATGAACATGACCTGAGGCAAACTATTTGTGCATGCAATACAGTAAATGACCTCTTATCATTAAACAATCGCTGGCCGCTTTTCAGACAATCATAACACAGAAAGTTCCTATAAAAAACATAACAACACCCAACCAATATGATAACTAATTACATCGTGGAGAATTTTAGTAGATTCAAAATTGACTTTCCACACTAATTTCTTATTTCTATTTTCTTCAGCAGCGGTGCCACTGACCAGAAGATGCCTGAGTTCTTCAGTTTAAACTTTTGTTTATTTTTTAACAAGATTGCTTTGTGACATTTGGTATACAACTTACTGGTGACCAGTCTTCAGTTGAACTGAACTCAGTGTTGCAGTTAGTTTAGACACTTGACTAAAAAATGCTACAGTTATGAAAATGCGAAAATTGCACTTGTTACTGTTAGAAATTCGCTGATTTTTTATGCTATGGCTCAGTTTTAGTTGACCTTAGTCTATCGAAGCTATCCAGATGATATGATTGTAGAAGCGAATTGGATATTTAGGGACTTCCGTTGCGAAGCTTTTACAGGAAATACGTGTACTGCATTTTAAAGTTATTAGGCTAACTAAAACCTTTTAGTTGTTGATTTTTTGTTCCTAAAGATTAGCGGACTGGCAGTATGTAAAGCTTTTTGGAAGAGATTTTTTTACTACTTCGACAACCGACTCGTCTCATGACCCCGGACACTTATAAGTAAATATAACATTATCGGACTGCCTAATTGGGTGTTAAATCTGATAATCCCGATACTTAACACTTAATCTGTAATAACAGTGGAGCCCCGCTCTACGGACGAGTTTGTCTAACCACAACTTTTACCCACACCCACACCCACGACCCACAAATTGTACCCTCGACCCACGACCCACGACCATTAGACAAACTCTCTACGGACACCCGCTTAATACGCCGGGACACCCGTATATAACGAATAGGTTTCTCGACGATAAGCTCAAATCTTTTCTGTAAAATCAACCAGCTTAATACAGACATCGGTTAATTCCGTCGGACAAGGGACTCTTTTAGAACTGTGTCCAGAGCCCGGGGTCCAGAGTTACAAACTCTCGGATATCGTGAACTTCTGGGTATCTGAGCACTGTCTGTTTTTATTGTGTGTTTATTGTTAGTTGTATCCTGGTCAAATAATGAAAGATTTCTCCGCGTCAATACGATTTAATCCCTAAAAAACAGTAGCGAAATAGCTTGACTTGTTCGGACTTTTCGAGCGAAAAAAAATTAATTTTGTGAGAAAATACCTGCCACACAAAGGATGGCCTTGGGTCGGCGTGTGCTAAAATCCAGACGATGAATTCTGAACGATAGACGATGGGCGATTGTCGTTACATTGTTTAGAGAAGAAGGAACAACAAACGTGACGGTAGCGTACTGATACAGCGCGATGCGATGAGATAACTTTTTATTATATTTTTATCTTATTTCTTTAATACTCATTTCTTGCTGTTATATTGTATTGTTAGTTAATCACTAGTCTTAATTTTTATAAATTGTAATTATTACACGGCATGTCTGAAAACCAGCTTGCTGAGCCATTTACCGTGTTTAAATAAAGTTGATTGATTGATGTGGAAAAAATTATTATGCAATCTAGATCACCCATACCCCCCTTCCCCCTCCCCTCCCCCTCGCCACCTTCCCCTCAAAAGTGAAATGGTCGGCCCCAGGAGCCTGTAAACCTGAAGAGGGCTGGTATAGCCAGCCGAAATATTGTTATGAAAAATTAATACACGTTGTTACGATCAGCTTTGCAGTAGTCTTTGGACTTCTGGTTTCTTCAGCCCCTAAGAGAATGTTCAATAAAACATAATAAAGAACAAGTGTCATGTTGTAGTTGGAGTTTCTTTCCAATGCGTATCGGCATTGGACTGATCAGTCCGTCCCCTGGGGTCTGTAGAATGTGAGTATATCTAAGCTAATACGGCTACATTCTGTCCATTTTGGTAATTATTAGACAAAAAAAATATCGAGAACACCAAATACTGAACGAGACAATTGGGAGAGTCCAATATAGCTGGCAGAGGAACTTTTTCAATGTAACCATTTTCAAATCGGACAAACACGTTGTCCTCTTTAACTATTAATCATATAGTGGTCAGTTCATAACATAACTTAGCCGTGAAGGAAATGAAAATGATACCTGATTTCATTAAAAGCGCTCACGCAATCAAGTGGCAATGCGATACATGGCAGTTCATCAGTTGTTCATGATAGTCGATGATAGTTTGAAGAATTTTACCGTGAATTTCAAAGTCTATGGTCCTTGTGCACTTTACCTGATGAAACTGTGCTTTACCCCGTCTATCACTCCGTACCGAAAAATTTTACAGTCTTTTAGAGAAAGCCGCTACGTCAGTAAAGCTGAATTAATGTCATGCTTAGTGTTATTTTGTTTCCGCATATACTGTAGATTTCTTAATTAGGGGAATCCCCGTTAAACCTTCCGACTAGGTTTGGTAGATTGCTGATTTACCAAACTTTGCCGTTAGTTTTCAGAGAAATATTCCATAAAGGCCCGAAAAACGATAAAACTATCACATGCTATCAGGCGACGACTGTTCCAGTTCAATACACCGACACACAATCAGCCTTAATTCTGCGGGTTCCACCTTGCCAACACTAAAAACCACACTGGTATAGTCACTCATTTTATTTCAAAGCCTACCAACCAAGGATCGGTAGAAGTACGTGAAAAGGCAGTCAATCGGGGTGGAGGTCTTGGTATGGAAATACCATGTGTTTACATTTTTGATGGTCCTCGGAAACACGTGAATTTACTTGAACAATTACTAGACGTTAGTAACAACCCAGCAATACGAGCGGAGGATGATCCTGGTACAGCTCGCAGCAAGCAAACAACGTCAACAAGGTTAAGAGCAATGACTGCAACAAAAAGCCAAGGAAGTGAAACGTGCGTAACACTGGTAACAGGAGGCAGAAAACTTTATCAAAGGACTCTACGTAGTACAAGAGTCAAACACCGGAAGAAAGACAGACTGTTCAAAATCAAATATGTCACGCTACTTTGTTACTGTTTTTTTTTTTAGTACTGTAGTAATAAAATTTTATTCACCCGTAAAAATCTGCCATTATTTGAACACATAATTGTGACAATGAAAATAGACAGTGTGCAGATAACCAGTGTCCGTAAAGCGGGGTTAACAATATATGAGAGTTTGTGACTTGGGACACAGAAAAGTGTCCGTTGTCCGTATTAACCGATGTCCGTATGAAGCGGGTTAATTTTAGAGAAAATATATGAGCTTTTTGTCGGGACAAACGAAACTGTCCGTATAAAGCGGGTGTCCGTATTAAGCGGGTGTCCGTAGAGCAGGGTTCCACTGTATTTTTTCCCAGATAATGACCATGTGTCTGAGACAAGCAGATCATATCAGAGGCTATTGAAATCTAAAAAGAAAACTGGGGGTAACCACGCATTTTTTAGAGACAACTGCGCTTCAATATGGAGGAAAACGCTGAATAGACGGGCAGTCGAAGACAATTGTGCTAGGAGGGTAAGTGCCTAAAGAAATACGTGCAAGGGTCAATCCGGCCCAAGGCAAAAAATAAAATAAAATACATACACAGCGTGCAGAAAGCTGCGATCATAATTAAGTCTCGCACACAAAAATGAAGCTGGGAAGAAGTAGTAAAGCAACTTAACCTTCACCCTACAAAACAACAACTTTGAAACGGTCAGCTACCGGAAACCTACCCTGGGTACCAGACGTTTTTCTCGCGTTGACAGAAACCGGAAACCGCGCTAGAAAAGTCTCTGGCACCAAGGGTACCACGCGAGGAAAAAAGGAACAAAGGCCATATACGTCACCACTATCCATTTGTTACAGACATATCAACCGGAAACACTCCTCCCACTTGTTGTCAAATACCGTTTGGCTACTCTTGCAAAACGATTTAAGGAACGACTTCCACTACGTCCAGGGTACAGAGTAGCGTGTGCGCTCAGTGCAGAGTTTTCTGACAACTGTTTATCCAATGAAAAAACGCTGTTGCGGTCAGGGAATTCCCGTTCAAGAAAGATTATAAATTGGAGGTCGCTCGGCTATTCCTATTCACTACAGCAGTTGCCAAACAACAATTTACACTGGCTTCACTTTCAACGTTTTCGCCAAATTGCTCTTTGATTAAGCTGCAAGAATCAGCCCGTGAAATAAGAGAAAAATGTTTTCTAGCAAAGAATTGTGCCAAAGTCTGGCATGTTTTGTCATCGGTGGAATAATCGCTGTAATATTTATCAAAACATTGGAATGGCAAAGGAGTCAGAACCATGAAGAACGTCAACGGGGTGAGAGACGAATGATCGTTCCTACACAAGAAGTCGGTGACAGAGCTAGAGAGAGACAAGAGGAAAGAATCGTACACGGATGTACAGTAAATATACCAAAGATTCCGCGGGAACAAGACGATTTATAAGGTATTGTTGAGAAGTTTATATATTTTTTTTAAAAAAAAATTTGTGGCGGCAGATGGGTGCCAAGTTGCTTCCTCGTTGTAATGTGCGTTACGTAGACGACTGGGAACGAGTCAGTATTGAATCTTCTAGAAACGCGGAAGACACGACTCGCAGGGCACTGAAACTATTCCATCAATCACCATTAAATCGCTGGTCGCTTTTCAGACGATAATATCAAGGAAAATTCCTTAAAACAGAAAAACAATACACAACAAAAAACAAAAACCGTATAAAATCATGGACATAAAGTATTCATCAGAATTGACTTTAAGCTCTTTTTTCATCTTTCTGTTTTCCTACAGCAGCAGAGCCACTCTGACCAGAAGTCTGATTCCTTTAAAGCCTTTGTACATACTTAGTAGGAACATGAACTCCGTAGAGCGCTTGG